CCCCCCCCCCCCAAACTTCTATCGCTCTAAACCAATCGCCACTACTTATTTCTGTTGTTCTACCTAGGGAAAAAGGTCAAATTTGTCCCTCTACTTTAAAAAATTATCCACATTTATCCCTAATTTTACTATCGGTCCAAATTAGTCACTACCGTTAAGAAAGTAGACAAATATATCCCCAGCCCTAACAGCTGTCCACTGTGGCAAGGGACCCACTCAATAAAAATTTCCACATAATTAATTCTAATTTTCTTTTCTTTTCTCTTCTTCTACCTAACATGTTAATCCCTTGCCCTCCACCACTACAACAACCTTAACCACTAAACTCATGAAAGAAGTGGGTATTTAGTACTTTGTGGCGGCGCCTTGAAGGGTTGAACCATCGTTGTTTGCCTTGAAAGCACACTGAGACAACCTTCCACCACCATTTTCAACCTCCGCCCGTCTTCATTTGCTAAAATAGCTGGTCTTCACTGTTTGTTAAAACAAAAAGGACTCAATAATTAAAATTGCTTGCTTGCTAATAAATTGTGTAGTATTAATACACCACATTCACTCACCATTATCTTAACACCAAATTTTCCTTTTTAGTCTCCTACCTGCATTTTTAGATTATTACAAAATTAATACTTTCCAATTTTTTCTATCAATTTTTTTCTTTTGATTCTTGTTTTTTCTTTTTTTGGTGTTACCGATATGTTTTCTAGATTAGTATAAAGAACAGAAGAATGGAGCTTGGGAAATCTGAAAATAGTGAAAGAAAAAGGGTTCTAGTCGTTTTCGAGTGTCAATGGAGAAGGTAAATGTATGGCTGTGATTTTGCCCATTGTTTAATTGATTATGGTAGTTTGTTTGACAAGTAACGGTTCTATGTGGTTTTGCCATCCATGGAGGTGGGTGGGGTGAAAGGGAAGGTAAATAATGGTAGAGGGCAAGGGAGAGAAAGAGGACATATATTTTAGGGAAAAGGAGAAAGAAAAAAATAAAAAATTAATGACGTGGCATTTTTTATTGATTGGGCCCCTTGCCACAGTGGACACCAGTTAAGGTTGAGGATATGTTTGTATACTTTCTTAACAGTAGGGACGTATTTGGACCGATAATAGAATTAGGGATAAACGTGAATAATTTTCTAAAGTAGAGGGACAAATCTGGCCTTTTTCCCTTCTACCTAAGTAAAATTTTAAAACTGGTGTTTGTTTGAGTTTTTTCAAGCAAAGTTTTTCTAAGTTCAATTATTTGGAGTTTTTTTTTTTTTAGGTGTTGATGTAATGAACTCATCAAATTCAAGATTTATTGCTGACGCACCCATGGTTGGTATGGATATATCCTCTTAGATCATTTCTAAGATCATGGCTAACACACTTTGGGTGTGGATGAAGCTATGCCTTTTTTTTTTCTCTCTCTTCAAATCTTCAACATATACCTACAAAATCAAATCTTCACTACCTTTATTTTCCAAAAAGATATAAAAATATTCACATTCGTCCAAATACACAACTTGTTAAATTTTCACTAGCTCTTTTTCTAACTGTAACTTCAGATAGATTCCAAACGGTTGCGGCGCGATATAGATAGGACTAGGGGTGGCAAACGAGTGGGTCGGGTCGGATATGAGCGGGCCGACAGATAATTTAAAAAAAGAAATAAATTATCCTACCCGACCCGTATTTGAGACGGATAAAAAAAGGTTTATCCGGCTGATAATATGGATATCCATATTATCCATGACTTGTTAAATATGATCACTTATGAGAGAATTCCTAGTCTTCCAAACTTGAGTAACTTCAATTTGAGGTTTTACAATTGTAAAAGTTAAACACATTAGTTATTCATTGGTTATCCATTTGGTTAACCATTTTCTAAGTGGATAATATGGTTCTTTATCCATATTCGGCCCATTTTTAAAGGGTTCATTATCCAACCCATTTTTTGATGAATAATATGGGTGAATAAGTGTTTTCTTTTAACCATTTTGTCACCTCTAGATGAACTGCATCTATATGTTAGCACAAGAAAACTTGCACTATTATTATTAACAATAACATAATAGGACTTAAAGCAAATTGCATTGATATTGAGTCCTGCAATTACATTTCCTCATACTACTTTCACCCATCCTAGGATCCCTACCCCTCCCCTCCTTATATGAAACTAAATAAATAGAAAACATAGTAAATAAAAATAAAGGGGTTGTATGCCGTATTTTTCTTTTACATATATGTCCCTTAAGAAACTATTAATAAGATGCCTTTTTGACTACTATACACTTATTTAATACTCTTCACTTTTAAGTTTTTGTTGCTATGTAGTTAATGTTTTTAATGTCATATCAAAAAAAAAAGTTTTTACTGTCAAGAACATTTATACAAAGGGCAAAATAAAAAATAAAAAAAATTATACCTTAGTTTTCTAAAATGACAATTATTTTGGACTAGATATATTTAGTAACCACGCCAACTAATATGGACCGGAGGGAGAAAATTCTTTTTAAGTATAGAAAGATGACATTTTCTCTGTGACAAACTAAAAAGGAAAGTATATCAGTACATAGGGAGTAAACATAATAAAGGGGTCGGGTAGGCATTAAATTCTATAAATACCAGCTAACATCCATTGTTTTCATATTGTTTCCTCACAAATATGCAAATCATAACAAGAAGTATGAAAAAAGCATCCATGATAGGAATATTAATAGTGCTAATCTTTTCTTCTTCCCTTGCTTATTCTACTCAACTTCCACCACTTCCATTTAAGAAGCTCCAACTTCCTCTGCAAACAGTCGGCCCTGATTCTAATGCTTTTGATCTTAAAGGCAACGGACCTTACACGAGTGTGGCTGATGGTAGAGTACTCAAATATCAAGGTCCAAATATTGGCTTCATTGATTTTGCTACCACATCACATCTAAGGTAAAGCACATAAACACATCAACTTGCTTTTTTTTTTTTTTTCATTTCATTAATGGAAAAGGGCCAAATATATCTCTGTAATATTAAAAAGGTTTAAATGTACCCTTCGTTATATGTTTACTTCAAATATACCCTTGTCGTTATACTATTGGTTCAAATATACCCTTTTTCCGTTAAATTTGTTCAAAGTTGATATCCAATCTTATGTGGCACTGACATTTGATGACGTGGATGTCACATGGCTTGCTACCTCAGCGCCCTTAACTCCATTTTACCCCTCCCTTTTATTTTTTTCCACCACTAAAATTTTCTTCCCCTCCACTACTATTGCCACTATTATCGCTACCATGAAAAATATTGTATTTCGAATTTTAATCTTTTATATATGGATTAGGGGGGTTGAGGTGGCATGCCATGTGGCATCCACCTCATCAAATATTAGTGTCACGTACAATCAAATGTTCACATTGGACAAACTTAACAGAAGAGGAATATATTTGAACCAATAATATTACGGCGGGGATATATTTAAACTCAAAGTATAACGAAGAATATATTTAAACCTTTTCTAATAGTACATAGGTATATTTGGCCCTTTGCGTTTCATTAATCAAGTTTCATATTTTAAGTTTTAATGTTTCTCAATAGGACAAAGGAGGTATGTGATGGCCAAATTTACTAATCACATGTGGAAGACCTCTTGGCCTTGGGTTTATTACAAAACTGGTGATCTCTACATTACTGACATCAATTCTGGCCTCTTGTCCGTTGGATCAAACGGAGGCCTTGCCACACAAACTTGTTTCTGGCATAGACGGTGTTCCTTTCGCCTTTGCTGACTCACTAGACATCGACCAACTAGGGGGAGTCATATAATTTATTGATTCAGGATCAATATTTCGCACCAGGTTTGCCTCATTTCAATTTTCAATGAACTTTGGATTTCTAGAGATGTTGTAAAATTTACTTATCATGTCATCTTAATAATGAATTATAGGTAATTGTCTAATGAGTATGAATCAGTAACGTAGAACAGGGCAGTGGCGCCAAGGATGGTCAAATGCACACTTATACTGTATATACAAGTTAAATACTACTTTATATGGTTATATATTATATTTTGAACACCTTTAACACAATTGAATGAGGCAGTCCAGCGGTTCAAGCTGTTCAATGTGATGTGTTATTCACAGGTTCAAAGTTCTACTCATTTTATTTGCCAAAACTAAACGAAAACAATCCTATATGGTCTATTTGATTCTTTTTCAATTTAAAACAGTTTCTAATTAAGTGACTCTTAGAACTTAAAATTTGTGTAGAATGAAACAACTAATCTAATAAGTAATTTTTTAACTAAATGTTATTTCTTAAATGAATTTTATAATGTACAATTCAAGCTCTACACAAATTTCTTCAACAAAAGCTCTCTACAAATTATAGATCCGCTCGACTCTCTCTTTCCTTTAATTTGGTTTTATGCTTACTTTTATTAGTAAAATTTCTAATGTTGTCCTTTCGTTATTTTAATTTTGATTTATAAGATCATAGTTCTATTAAAAGTTTTTTTATTGTTTAGATAAATATTGCATAGTTTGATCTAAAAAATTTTGTACACCATTCATCGACAAAAATAATTATTAATTTATTTAAAGTTTGAATATCTTTGACAAAATTTCTGACTACGCCACTTGAACAATAGTGAGTGACTTTAATTATGAGACACAAAACTCAAAGTTCATTATGAACTTTCATCTAATATACCTCATGACTAAAGCTTGAAACTCTTGCCATTTTGACAGAGACATAAATTTGATCCTTCAAAGTGGAGATACAAGAGGGAGATTTTTCAAATATAATATAAGAACAAAGCAAGTAACATCATTGCTAAGTGAACTATCAGGGCCAGCAGGAGTGGCACTAAGTTTAGATGGTTCATATGTTCTGATCACAAAAATAATTGCTAGTACGTAGAATCAGGAGACTTTGGCTCAAAGGTCCAAAAGCGAATTCATCAGAAATATAATATTCGCAAACCTTACTGGACATCCAGATAACATAAAGAGGACGATCTTAGGGGACTATTGGTGTGATGATCGTGAATTTAGTGTTCCGAGGCCTAAAAACCTCCTTTTTACCCCACCCTGATTTACGTGCGTGGTCCGGACCTATATCCGGAAAGCTTTCTATGTGAAAATATGAGAAACAGAAATTCTAGAGTTAAAATTTGATTATGGTTGACTTTTGTCAACATTTTGAGCAAACGGACCCGGATCTATGTTCCGACGATCCCAAGAGGTCCGCAATAAAATATGGGACTTGGGCGCATGCCCAGAAATGAATTCCGAGGTCCCAAGCCTTAGAAATCAATTTTTGAAAGAAATTATTTTACTGAATTATCTAAGAAATAAAGAAAAGAATTAATATTTGAAACCATTGTTATTGGGCCCGTATTTTGGTTCCGGAGCCTGGTACAAACTTGTTATAGTATTTGAAAGATAACTGTGAAATTTGGTGAAAAACGGAGTTTATTTGACATGAGTTGGATTTCCGATTGAAGAGTTGTGAACTTTGAGAGTTTTTGATGAAAATGTTAAGTTTTGAGGTTTAATTCATGATTTTACATGTTATTTTGATGATGTGATCGCACGAGTAGGTCCATATGATGTTTTTGAATTAGTATGCACATTTGGTTTGGAGTCCCGAGGGTTCGGGTGAGTTTCGGGTAGGTTCCGGGGGTGTCTTAGGCTTAAAACATGGCTATTGGAGGTTCAGAAAAATTGCAGCTCACTGAACCTGCTAGTGCGGTCCACATTGGTTTTGTGTTGTCCGCACTGGTGACTGTGCGGCCACAGTTGATTTTGTGCGGTTCGCACAGGTTCACTGGTGACTATGCGGCCGGAGTTGATAAGGGAGTCTGAGAGGGGTATATTAAGACGAGATTTTCAGTTATTTTTCATTTTTCAAAATTCCAAAAACATAAGAGGCGATTTTTCAGACAACCTTTCTTCTCCAAAATATTGGTAAGTGATTTCTAACTCGTTTTTTTTTTCAAGCATTAACATCTTTTCACATGATTTCAACTCAAAATCAATGATTTTCATGGGAGAAATTGGGTGTTTTGGGTAGAACCTAGGTTTTTCAAAAATTGGGGATTTGGACCTCGATTTGAGGTCCGATTTCAAAACAAATCATATATTTAGGTTCGTAGGGGAATGGGTAATCGGGTTTTGATTCGAACCTCGGGTTTTGACCCTGTGGGCCCGAGGGCGATTTTTGACTTTTTGGGTAAAACTTTAGAAAACTCATTTTCATGCATTCAAATTGATTCATTTAGCGTTTATTGATGTAATTAAGTAA